TTAAAGCAATCAGAAACTCAGTGTTATTAACAAATAATCAAACTAAAATTGTGAAAGTTATATACAACCAAATCAGTTCCGTGTTTGTTAATTCAAAAATGAATTTTAACCTAAATTATATACTATTTCTTGTTTGCATTTAGCAATTGATTCGTACAATTTTCACACAAGTACATGTTAAATTCAATATTAAGTTCAACTATAAGTAAAAACGTGAATATTGAATTGAAAATTACCACAAAATAATTTGAAAGATATATATTGTCAGATTTTCTTATCCAGTAATTTTCTGGTTTTAACAATTTTTGAAAAACAAATTTTTGAAAGTTTTAACAATTTTTGAAAAACATTTTAAAGCAATAAGATAATTATGACAATAACAGCGTGGCTACACTTTTTTTGTCTGACAAAACGAGGATAATTTAGGAGATTTGTAAGGTTTTTAAGGAGATTTGCCGGGATATATGAAAAAAAAAAGTATATAAATTTTAGGAGATTTTAACTTTTAAAATTTAGCTTTATATTTAACTGACATTTTCTATTCTGAAAATACAAAATTATTTTAAGTCAACTTAATAAAAATAAAATTTTAATAAAAAAAATTTTTATGCTCAAAACTTAAACAGAAATAAGAAAAAAAAGCTTAAATTTTATCAAAATAAATTTTTAAAGTTATTAAAATAATACAAAAATATTGAAAAACATTTGAGTAACTTAATTTCTCTCAGTATACAACAGTACTAAGGGGTTGTCCATAAAGTACATACGCTTTTTTTCGCAAACCCCCCCTCTCCACGCAATTTCACCTACGCTTTTTTGAGAACTCTCTACCTCCCTAAAAGTACCTACGCTTTTTACTTACTAACCCAACATTTTATGATATTTTTTTTAAATTTAGTGTCACCATACTTTTATAATTGACTTAATGCCCCCTTATCTCAGAAACACCATTTGCGGACCTCCTCTTCCTCTCTAAGCGTACGTACCTTATGGACAATCCCTAACTCCAAGTCTGAACCATTTCATTAATTTTATTGTTGTTTGGCTTATAACAGTTTATGCATTATACTCAAGACAAATAAATTAGGAGAATTTAGGAGTATTTGAGAAAATCATCTATACATTAGGAGAAACTAGGTCTTTTTAGGATTTTTTTCAAATACTAAGATATTTTAGGACTTTTTAGGTGGAGTGACCACCCTGAATAAGTTACTTGCTTTTATAAATACAATAGTTATATATACAAAGTTAGAGTTACAAACAGTAAAAACCTGATAAAAAACAATTATATTATATATTTATATAATTATAAATACAAATTATATTGAATAAAAACATGAGATAAAAACAAAAATAATATTATTAACAACAATAATTAAAATAATAATACAAAACAATTTTTTAATAATACATAAAAAAATAAAAATAAAAATAATTATAGTTATAATAATATATAATCATAAATAATTATTAATTAAAACAGTTATGTAATAACAATAAATTTATAAGTAAATAAAAAATATATATATATATATATAAGAAATTCTTTAAAAAATGCAGCATTGAAAATAACAAGTAAAAATAAGGACAAAATTTAGTATACTTTAATATATACATACAAAACACCCACAAATATATACACGAATGCATATAGACACACACATACATACACATATTTATATGTACAAAAAAAAAATTTAATGCCCCACTTACAACAAAAAACAAACAAAACAAAAATACTTTTATTAAACAAACTTATAAATAAAATAAAAATAAGTGATAAGCCAGATGGTATACAAAAATACAACAATACATGAAGAAATGGTTTTTTCTTCAAATACATTCTTTTTCTTTTTAAATTGGTTCTAATATTGTTCCTTACTTCCCTTCCTCCTTTGATGTTGTTGTTGTCTTTTTTTTTGGTTTTCAAATGTTTCAAAATATTTTTTCTTATTTATTTTCTTATTATTCAATTTTCTTTTCTTTACATTCTATACATCTTTTAATTTTTCCATCCTCATTTTCAGAAAATTTCCTCCTAAAATTGTGAATCACAGCAAATAGTTTATTGACAAGGCATTGCTTTGTACCTAAATAAAATACCATCACTTGTGTTTACTTAATTAAATAAACTATCATTTTATAAAATACATTGCATTAATTCAAGTAATTATAAAGAAAGAGTGTAAAAATTAAAATATATAAAACAAACAATTCTATTTTTCAAAGCAAATATTATTAACAATTTTTAGACATAGAAAAGTAAAATAAACTTTTATTATAAAAATCAGTAAAAAACTATGCATGTAAAATGGCAAAATAAAACAATGTTATTACATTCTGTGGCCAATTGTTTCTAGCTGATAGTTTATTATGAATTTTATTTCAAAAAGGTATGGTAAATAGATAACACAAGTAGGCAAGTAGATAACACATTTTTTGTGGCGATAAACACATATGCGCTTGACAAGTGGAACTGGCTTCTTGGTTTCACATTGTGGTACAATGACGAATAAAAAAAAGAGTTATTACAAAAAATATTTGCACATTTCTGTATAATACAATCTTTTATTATTAAATTCACAAACAATGTAAGAAAACAGTTCTTTGTATCATTTGTATTGAGACAAAGAAGTAAAAGCAGCTTTATGTTTTGATTAATGGCACACTTACAAAATAACACACTTATACTAAATGTGTTATAGAAACACGAGTTAAAACATGTAAACACAAATAAACCGTATCATATAGTTAGACCTACAAAAATTTCAACCCACTAAATTGTTCTACAAAAGGAACATCTAACAAAAAGTACTGATAATGTACTAAGGCCTAAACTTTTTTATTTTCAATGAGTTTATGATGTTTTAGTTTTTGGACCAATTTATTTTGCAAGATTTTTGTTTTTATTTGCTTTGAGCTTATCTAATTGGTGTTTTTAACGTTGTTTTTTTAAATTACGAAAACTTTTTTTAAAGTACAAAAATTATTTTTTTAAGTTAGCAATTAATAAGTTTACCAACCTTCTGATTCTGAAGACAGCGTTTCAACCACTGCATTCAACCACTTGTATTCAAATAAACAACAAAGTATACAAAATACATACTAGATAGAAATAGTTATAAAATTGAAAATAAGCTAGGTTAAATATTACTTAGGTCGAAAATTCAGTAGGTCAAAAATCCAGTAGGTCAATGATTTAGTAGATTGGAAAACTAGTAGTAAATGTTTTAGTTCTTTGTAAATATAAAAATCAAAAATTGTCAGTTGAAAATCAAAAATATCAAAATCACGATTTACAAATATATATATATATATATATATATATATATATACATATATATATATATATATATATATATATATATATATATATATATATATATATATATATATATATATATATATATATATATATACATATATATATATATATATATATATATATATATATATATATATATATATATATATATATATATTATGTTATTGTATTCTACAAATAGAATGCTTAATGTTTTAAACAGGGCTTTTGAGCTGCTTTGGAGCTTAAGCTATCTGGAGCTGGTGTTTTCACAAGGAACTGAAGAAGCTGAAGTTGAAACATTTATAGGTGGAGCTGGCTTCAGAGCAGACTCTAAGCTAGCTTTCTCCAAGCTCCTCCTTTTCATAATTTGGAAGATCACAGTTTGAGTATTTTTGTTAGGGATTCCTAAATAATCTAAAGTTGTTTTTTATATGAAAATTTTAAAAAAAGCTTTTTACGTATTTTCTAAAAAAAGCATTTTACATTTTGATATTGATATTATAGGTTTAGATTAATTGATTGCTCACCTTGAGGCACGTAAAAATTTATTATTTTATTAAGTATACTTATTATACGTATACTTGTTTGATGCATTTATGTAATATAAAAATGGCAGTTAATAGTAGAAATAATACATAAAAATAATAAAATAAAAGGTCAGTAGCTTTCATAGGCTGATGTAACACAGGCTTCTTGTTGATTAAATTCTTGAAACAGAAACTTGCCTATTTTTGATTTGTTGTCAATGATTTTTTAAGTAAAATCTTTAAAAGCACAAGAGAAAAATGATAAAAACACAGACTAGTAGGTTGAAATGAATTTCCGCTATATTCGGTTGAAAATCAAATTATGGCAAATCGGTTGAAATTAAAAGTCTGTGAAATAGGTTGAGAAAATCGGTCGAAATTAAAAACGTCATAAATCGGTCGAATAAAAAAAGGCCTATAATCGGTTGAAAACATTTCAGGCCTCAGTAGAACATATAAAAATTATTTCCACTTTTTAGTAGGTGTTTTATTTTGTAGATCAAGTTTATAGGTGCAGGATTTTGTAGGTTGAGCTATGTGACACGGTTATAACCACTATTAAGTAGCCTCCTCGTTTGTAGTGGCCTTCTCGGCCTTGAGGAGGTCAATAACAAAAAAAAAAAAAAAAAAAAAAAAAAAATTAAAAATAATTTAAATTTTTATTTTCAAATTTTTTAGAAAGTATTCATTTTCATACTTTATATTTTTAATCAAGTTTTAAATTTAATCAAGTTATGGTTAAAAGTTTTAATTAAGTTATGGTTAATAGTTTTGTTATAATGTACTACTATAAACCTTATACAGCTTTTTTTGTTATATACATCTATAATCCTTTCTCCTAAACATAGTTTATAGCTATAAACTTTTCTCCTAAACATTATAGTTAAAGCTTTAAACTTTTTGCAATAGTATACAACTATTAAGTTTTCTCTTATACATTATAGTGTATAGCTTTAAACTTTTTTCTCATAGTGTACAACTATAAACCTTTCTGCTATAGTGTACAGCTTTAAACTTCTTTGTTATAGTGTACATCTTCTTTGTTAAGTGTACATCTATAAAAATTTCTCGTACATTATAGTGCGCAGCTGTAAATTTTTTTTATCTGGAAATAATTTATAATATTTTCAGAACTTTTTTATAAATTTTGTAATTTTTTAAAATAGCTTGTGGTTGTAATCGAACATCCAAAAATGATTTAATCCAGAAGAAAGTACTAAGACAGGTTCACAAATTTTTTGTTGTTGTTGTTATTTTTATATTTAAATTATTTAAATAACAAATAAAACAATGTATCAATTGCTAAATTTTAAACTTACAGGTTATTTAAATTTGTAAAAAGAATTTTTTTTCTATGGTACTCTTAAGAATAATTTCTATTTGACAAATAAATTTAAAACTATTATTTTTAAATTTATTAGATTTTTACTTCTTTAATTATTTATAAATTATTAATTCTTTAACTTTTTTCTTCTTGATGGTTATTTAAAATCTTCTTTCTATTCATGGTTTGAGGTCGTTTGCTGGAAGCTGTAGATTCTTATCTAAAATACAGTTATAGAACTTAAGTTAATGATCATCACCATCATCACTGTTGATGGTGATGATTTTCAAACTTTTCATACAGTTATTGAAAATTCTATTCTATTATTGAAACTTGAATATTTGGAAAATGTTGCAAAAATTAGAAAATCAGTTACATAATTTTGAAGATCACCAGTGAGCAATTTTGATGAACTTCAACCAAATATGATTGAAAATTTGTTTGTAATTTAAAGACAAGATGGGGCAATATTATTGATATGCATTAAAATTTTTTGGAGGTGTAAACAGAAGTAAAAATAGCTTTGATTGATAAAAATATTATTCTCTTACTAAAAAATTAGTTAATGACATATATGAACCTTATGTTGCTTTAAAGCCGCTAAAATAAACTTTGTGTTTCTTTAAAACCACTAAAAAAATTTTATATCATTTTTTGTTGCTTTAAAACCACTAGAATTGCCCGTTATGCTCGTACAAAAGGAGATCTTTTGTACTTACAATAACTTAAGTTGTGATTGAATTTACAGGAAAAAAAACTTGATAAAGCTAACATACCTTCTCGGAAAGCAGCTATTTGAAAACAAAGTAATTGAAAGAAGAAACATGGTTTAATTCATCTCATGAACTACTTTTCAAATCTGAATGTCTTAAATAAAGGTGACTAATTCCAATATGGCAAAAAAGATTAAAAATAAGAAGATTACTAGCCTTGCTCATTTAGCAATTACTTCAGTCATCTAATGATAGCTCTAATGATGAAAAGAAAGTAAACACTGATGGTATGACTGATAATGTGAGAAGTAACAAAGCTGAATTGAATTTATATCAACAACTCAAATTTTTTTATCTAACAATCAAACATTGAAATGACCATTAGAAGATCAAACCTTGTTAAATAAGAAATGGCTTCTTTGAAAGTAGCAAAGCTAGGCCCAAATATTTTTTATATAAAAAAAAATTATTAAAAACTATTTGCTTTTAAAGCTTTTCAAACAATTCCTTCTACATCAGTAGAAGCTGAGAGCTTTTTCTAGTCTTGGGATATTTGCAACTAATATATGAAGTTCTTTAAATGACAAAACTTTAGGTGCATTGACTTTTTAAAGACAAACTATGAAAAGTTGTCTTTGATATTATTATTGTTATCATTGGTTTGTGTTACTTTTATGCATAATACATAATGCTTACAAATAATAGGCGATTGGTTTAATTTGTTGAATAAAGTTATACTTACAAAATAAAGTCTATAAATTATCATAATATAACAGGTTAAACTTGTAAGACTAGTTAAAGTAAAGTTAGAAATATGTTTCAAGGTACCCCACCTATGGGGTACCTTGATACACACTATGAGCATCATTAAAAAAGTAAATAAAAAGTATAAAACATAGAGAAAATGCAGATTTTTATTTAAAATGTAAACAAGTTAATATTTTTAACCCAAATAATGTATCCAATGGTCCAAATCACATTTCAGAAGACCAGATAATACACCATTTTAAGTATCATTCTTAAATGCCAATAAGTAATGCTTTGTATCGAAATAGGATCTCATTGTATTGTATTTACATAAATCTTTTTAAAATTGATATATATTAAAAGAAATAATTTTTTGAATTGTTTATGACACAATGGAGTATTACAGTTTACAATTTTACAATTTTACAATTTTAGGGCCCCCCATAAATTCTGTATCAAGTTACCCCATACTTGCTAATAGAAAACAATTGCTTTATTTTTATTTTCAACTTGTTTTTTCAATAATTTTGTTTAATTAAGTAAAAAGCTTATGGATTGTAATTTACAAAATGTTACTATACTGATATACACATTAAATAAGGTACCTTAAAACTTATGAGCTTTAAAAACTAATAAATTACTTTGTCATCAAAAAAACACAGGTTTTGAGCGATATCATTGAACTATTTAACATCATTAAACCTTGCAGGCTTGATAGCTTGATAAATGATGTCAAATGATTTTTTCAAAACATAGCGCTAGTCGTAACTCTTTCACTATATGTAAGTGGTTGTCACGACTCTTAAAATGCCTCCACAATTACATGCCCCACTTTCACTTACTATATACAAACCTTGTTATAATGCATTAATTATTAACAAT